CAATTTAATAATTTTTAATAGAATAAAAATATTTCAAAAAAAATTATAAAATTTTAATTAGATTTTAAGAAATCATATATTTATATATATCAATATTAATCGAATTAATAATTATATGATTTCGAAATAATATATATTTCCGCTATTTCATATATTTTCATAGATATCAATCAATAATTTCATTTAGTTATATTAATTTATATTTATCATAATATTTCTCTAAATAAATGAATAAGAATTTCGAAAAATTATAATTATTATAGTAATATATATTAGAGATCATGAGTTAATATCATATTATTAAAAATAAAGAGAGAAATTCATTATAATATGGTTTAATTGTCCAATAAAACGAATATATATTAAAGAAAGATCTTAAATAAATCAAGAAAGAAATATATTATTTATAATATTAAATTCGAGATATAAGAATGAAATTTCATTTCAATAAATAGATCCATAAGCACCTTAGAACTTTGCCATGTCTATATTTTCCTTGATAGTCTGTCGCCGAGGGGGATGAATGTTGATTGAATTTATATTTCTCAATAGGTGATTGGTAGTAAGAGCAGAAGATGCTTCGAGAGAGATTTTTGGTCTTGAAGATCATCAACAGATTGAAGGAATTGAGCCATTAATTATCACGCAAAAATCGTTTAGTGTACTATGTTTCTTATTGTTTATCGCACTACTTCTTTACCACTGATTTGCAAATCTTATTCTTGTCGTTTCTCTTGAAGCTTTGATGGTGAAGTGTTGGCTTCATGTACAGCGACCTCGGCAGAAATATCATAGGGCTTGGGGTGTGCTAAATTCAAAGGAAGGATGACGTTTGTTCAACAGATCGAAATCAGCTACCCAATCTTACTTAGGCTGTTCTGCTGACAGACGCAACCCACGGGAAAATCTCGCCCTTTTCCGGCTCTTTCAACAAACGGCCAGCCACCCGGTCCGACAATCCTGAGTTGGACTCGAGAGGATTGAGTGGGTATGCAAAGACTCCTGTCCCTTGCCTTAGGGTCCCTTGGTGGTGTTGACTTGCGTACATGCTGGGGCTAAGGATGACAGAAGCGTTCTACACCTAACATATGGGGAGATGGCCATACACAGGTAGGTGTTCTGGCGGGGTTTGCTTGACATCAGAACGCTTCTCGCAGGAATCGCCGAGAAAGGGAGCGATAAACACTTGTTCAGTCTTTATAACTTGTAATATAGCCGCCGCCTCCACCTGCGCGGTAGCAGGGTTTACACTCTCACAACTCGGACAAGCCAGGCGAGGATCCATGTGTGCGCAGTCGGTGTGACAATTTGAGAGCTGCCGATGCCTGCAACTAAACAAGCAAGCTAGCAACACAAATTAACACACAGGCATCCGCATTTGCTCTGACCAGGCCTCGTACCCCAAGCAGCAACCACCAAACAAAGCTCAAACCACCCGCCAAAGGAAACAACTAACAAAGCTCTAAAGAGGCAGTCAGACTAGTGGAGCAGTTTTATCTCCGGTTTGAATTATTCATAACTGACGAGCCTTCCTAAAGGTTTTTTCAGCAACACGGATAGAAACTAGATCATGCGACAAAAAATAATAAACCACCAAGCCCACTTAAAGGAGGTCGTCGAGTTGGCTAGAGTCCGAAGGCGTGGGTGAAACACTTCGCGGCTCAGTGTAGCTCCAAATTGTTTGTTGTTCAGTACAGCTCCCTGCTCATGCAGTCGCTTGAACTCATCGGCAGCCCCTGACTCACCTGGCAGCTCCTGCGGTTGGCTCTCACGAAATCCATAATAACTTTCGGTGTCGGTTTCATGCAGGGCCCTGCATTCCGTGCTACCGACCTTGATCGGGAACCACTTCTGCATTCTTCGGTCCTTGCATCAGCGTGCCAAAGGGCACGACTGTTGTCTCCGCAAAATCAGAGTTGCCGCTAGGCTAGGCTTGGAGCACACCCCACTTGCCTCCTGGTTCGTCTGCAGCTTGTGACTCCGCACACTCAAGGTTTGCTGGGGGCTTTTCAGTAGTCTCGACGGTCTGCAGAAAAGCACAGGCAAAAGGTCATTCCCAGCCTTCAACATGTTCCTATCTTCTCACGCACAAGCCGGGCGCCTGTCCCGTGGCTGTAGGCTTCGCTGAGAATAGGACGCCATCGAGGCTGGTACTGGTTCTTGCAGACTGACAGCTGCAGGTGTTGGCCATGGCAAGCGTTGTCGCGGGTTGGTGGTTTCTTATTAAGCCCAAGGAGGCAAAGGTAAGGGCTATGAACAATAAGCAGCTTAACCCCATGGGAACTCCCGGACCAGACCGAACCACGACGAGTCATCGACCAAACGGCAGACATTTCAGCATCATGCATCATGCAAAAAGCAGTCCAGCAAAGCAAGGAAAGCAGTGCAACAAGGAAAGCAGTCCAGCATTGAATTCATCATCCACAGTGCAGGCAGTGCAACAAGGAAGGTGCAGAAGACTTGGCCATGTATTACACACGCCCATCTGCAGCTTTACTGCGAGTCTACGATTTCGATCACATCATGCGTATCCATGGAGGTGGTTGACAAACAAAGGGTCTCCAAAAGCGATAGCTGCTTAAGCCGAGGCTCATCCCCAAAAAGACCTCCATGTATCGCACAATGGAACATCGTCTACTCGGAAGGTGAAAGCCCAGGTTCAGTAGACGGTGTTTGTTGAAAACACTAACACTAGCAGCATTAACGGTAGTGAAAGCAACCAACACATCTCGTTCGTCAAGCTTGGATTCGTCCGTGACGCACCCAGCATGAAGCACCTTTCGTGCATTGAAGAAAAATGGCTTTGCCAGAGACACCACGCTGCCCTTCACCAAGGACCCCAAATGAAAAAGCGGATCCCCACCCACCCGATCCTGATTCCAAAGACCGTCACCGGGATTACAAGGACTGAGACGCATCACCATCGAGGGGAAGGGGCCATTCTTGGTGTCCTATGCGCTCGGCCTAAGCTTCCTCGGCGGATCACGAAGCAAGAGTAGGGATGCATCGGAGCTACTGACCTGATGAAACGATTTACGATAAGGGTAAAGTAGGGACATTCACGACTGAGAGACAAAATAGACTCATTACACCTAGGATTGGACCCCGCGAGCAAATACGAAGACTCCGAAGTGGCATCCCTACGTAAGTACGAGCGCGGAAACCGCTGGAAGAGACTCAAGATCTCTTCTTTCGTGGGTGGGAAGCTTCGTTGCAGCATTCTACATGCCCTGATCTCAATGGGTCTTTGAATTAAGTCAAGGGTAAAGACGTAATCAGGGTCCCGGGACCCGAGTACTGGAGTGGTAGGATTGGAAACATCGGACTCAAGTGCATCGAGATCTATTGGGCATGAGGTCTGCTGTGGCATGTCCTCCCCCTCCTCCAACGCTGGGGTACTCGAATCACTCAAAGTGTCCGCAGTGACTTCTAGAGTTAAATCCAAAACACCTTGCGACGGTTGCAAGCATGGAAACCCAGGCATGTCCAAAGTGAGCTACGCGCAGATCCTCGATGTACGGGCGGGCTCCAAAACAACCTGCCAACAAGGTAAGTGCTGTCTGAAGAAACCCCAGTTGATAGCTTCACAACTTTCGTCAAAGCGCACCCCCCAATCAAGGCATAGCAATTCTACAAAGTCAATATCACACTGGCTGCTCGCCTGCACCACCTGTTCGGAACTCAAGGCATGAAACCGAATCAACACATAATCCGAAGATCTGAAATATTACTGAAGATCCCAACACCGAACGTACCACCACTGCCGCGATCTCCTCATCCTTTTTACATAAGCTCGAGAGTTCCTCGAGGCAATGCAAGCCAAGTGGTTTGGCATAGTGTCCAGGGCATCATGTAACTCGTATGCTTTCAAAGGACGAAAGGGCCGAAGGTGACTCGGACAAAGGATCTCGAACTCCAAGGACATTACGTAGCCTAGCAAAGGTGTCCTAGAACTGTGCACTCACGTGGGGTACTCGAGCCAGACAAGTCAATGACGGAACAGCTGAGGGGAGGGATTTACTAGCCAAATCTAGAAGATGACACAGACAGGTTTGGTGTCATAACGGCCGGGGGCTTCACGACAATTTTCTCTGTGTTGTTGAGCTCAGTTCCAGTGCGGCAAACATGCAGAGGCTTTATGAGAAGGCCTATGCTCTTCAAGTGCAGCCTCGCAAACGAATTATTTCGGTAGCTGGCTTGGGAACACTATGCAAAGGAAGCAACAAAGTAAGGACAAATATTAATCAGTGCGCGTGCCATCCAATTCACTCAAGGAAAGAAAACAACAGTCCACATGAATTACAGTGCGGCAAGGACATGCAAAGTTTCGCAGACGGCAGCTCAGAGACAGTGTTATGAATTCAAGACACATGCTCCGAGACATGCAAAGTTGCGAGAAGGGCCATTGGATGACAACGTACTAAAACAGAATAAACGAAAGAACTCTGGGCCCTAAGGTCCTTGCGCAATTAGTGTACAGCTACCGGCTACCTCTTGAGGGGTATGTTGATACTACGTCCATCCCCCATGTCAAAGCTCACTTGTTGGCCCGCACGTGGCGGCAGGGCACTCTGGAGATGGATCTGTTGCACACCCCCTCCTTGAAGCTGTGGCTCATGTGCCGGTGGTGGCAAAGGAGGGCGATCTCCGTGAAGGCCATGATGTTGAAGAGCCACCAGAACTCACTGCTCGCAGTACGCACGGATTGTGCGCACCTGCTCTGTGACATCCCCGAGAACTTGCGCCACGTTCCGGAGCACATCCTTTTGAGCACTTTGCTCGCTGCTCGCCCTGGATGTAGTGGAGCGCCGCCAAGAGCTCCTGGCCCAAATCCGCGGGCGTCTTGCTGGCCGCCTCCACGTGGCGCACGAGACTCGTGTGGGTCCAACGCATGACCTTCCTCAAGACCTCCTTGATCCCTTCGCGGAGGTCATCACACTTCGTCAACCTGGGCAGTGCTCTCCGTGTGATGGGTCCTCGACTGGCCTGCCACCTGAGCGATGCCTTTGATGGCATCTTTGAGGCCAGCGAGCACCGTGTCGATGTTGGCCTCCATAGGCCCCAGCTTGGCCGTCACCGCGCCCAAGACTTGCTCGACAGCTAAAATCCTCTGATCCAGCTTCTGCTCCAGCTTCTTAGACTCCACAGAGCCCTGGCTCACTTCCGTAGTGAGGCTAACGATCTCCGTCTTCATGTTTGTGAGCGACGGGGCAATGTCCGTCACCCCTGTCAGAAGACGGCTCATATTCGCAGCAAAGTTTTTGACAGTTGTATGGGTGTCTTTTGATCTCCGACATCATGCGCTGAGGGGTGATCCCGCCATCATCCGAAGGATTCGGTTTGGGATCCACTGCCTTTGGGGCGCTACGCCCCTGCGCCGGAGAACTCGCCGGTTTACTGGCCGTCTGTGAGCCAGAAGGAACGGACGAATCATCCTTAGCAGCGCCGCTGTCCTGTGTCTTGCCAGCCCCATCTCCTGTCCCTGTGCTGACATTGGGGCTTGCAGCTGGTGTAGCTGTTGCCGGAACTGATTTCGGAGCCTTGTTGTGTGCCACCTCCGATTTGGAGATGTTCGCAGCCCCGTCACCGTCTTTGCCCGAGGAGGTATTCGATGGCTTCGGAAGAGCTTCCTCAGCAACTTCCTTAGAGGTCGTTGGTGCCTCCATCCAGGGAGCCTGAGGTGCAGCTGATGCTGCAACAGGCATCTGAATCATCGCCATGATCTCCCGACAGATTGCGATCACTGCCAGGGTGATCAACATTGTCACCCCGTGGGAGATCAACCCCTGGTGGTCAAAGGCATGGCTGCGGAACAGAAAGCTGAAGCTAACTGTCTGAGGCTGAGGTATGATCCAGAGCCTTGCGTCAACATGTTCATCTACACCGGGGTGTGTGTGTGTGTGTGTGTGTTATGCAGCGCACTCAGACCCGAACATTAAACTGCCCGTCCTGCCCCCCCT